TGAACTACTTAATATCACTCATATTGGCTTTTGCTACAAAAACCAATGAGGTACTTCTGGGAATTTAGGTCCACATTTGATTTTAAAGCTTATATTTATTTTTCATCAGTTGTTCTTGAAGGGCCAATTGCCATCCTGCCTATATTTTTAAGAGTTGCATCTTCCATGGCCTCTAGATCCCAACCAACTCTGCCCTTGCCTCCTCCTTTCTGACCTTCTTCCAGCTCTTCCAATAGTCAGAACTTCTGAGGGACTCTTTGTTCAGAGCTTGTGGAAGGTACCATCATACATGGCTGTCTCTCCTTTCTTGATTTTAGTGAGATTTTTCATGCTTCCTAGAGGAGTGCTGGGAAAGTTCACACCCAAGAGATTCTGATCTTCTGTTGTCATTGTTCAGTTACTTCTGGTTTCAACCTTACTATTTTTGTTAAATGTTGTTTTCACTTTTTTTTTCTGGTTCTTATGAGCCAGATGGCTTTAGTTGACCATAGGAAGGAATTTATAAACATCTAGAGACAATGACACAAGAGACTTCTCTCTCTCACTCTATGCTCTACCGGCTCCTTGGGCTCTTGCTTCAAAACCAACAGATGGAGCCTTCCAGTGACTTGCCAGAGATACAGCTAACTTTGAGGAAGTTTTCAACATGAACTATGTGACCGAACTTCACAGCCATCTGATTTCCAATTTAGTAATTACTGGAATAATTAGATGAGTTACTCTGCAGATGGCACTTAAGTTTCATGACATATGTGTCCTTGTCATCCATAGCAGATGATATATGGAATATTTGCTCTTCACTGAGATATGATATATATATATATATATATATATATATATATATATATGATGCAAAATGCCTTTAAGGTTTTCTTTCTAAGCTTCTAATTTTGTGTAGACCCAAATGAAACATCAAACCTGCTTTGGCTTGCATTGTCAGAACTCTTGGCTTGCTGTGTTTGATGGTGCATGTCAACTGTAGCACTATGCTGATGCTAATTCTTATGACTCCTACAGTATTTAAACTCTATTTATAATTTTAAATGTTGAATAATAAAATTATAGAATGTTCAAACATGAGGATCATCACATAACAAATCTTAGAAAACTAGAATGATTTCCCCCATATAATTCCTTCTAGTCTTTCTAAATATGGTATTTTTGGAGTTTAAAGCTTATTTTTGAATTAAAATTCATATACTATAATTAAAAAAATTAAGACTAAAGTTTTGGGAGGAGTTTCCTACATGTGTACTGTAGTCACATCTTTAAAAAATATAGATAGAAAGGCAATTTATTCTATTATAAGCATGTACACAGTCATGGAGAGTAACAGTCCTGATAGCATCAAACTATAGTGGCCAAGGATTAATTCCTAAAAGCAACTTTTTTTCAAGGATTAATTTAATTTTAAAAACAAATTTAAACTAGCAATTCAATCTTTTCCAGCTTGATAGTTCACCTCTGGTACAATTGCTAGGTAGAAACATACATCTTTTCAACTTGGTGGTCCAAAACTAAACACACCCATGCACACACACATCCCCCTCACGCATAATCACACACACACACATACCCACCAAAAACCATTTCACAGAAAGGAAATAATGATGGAAGTAACTCAAGAAATACAACCGATGAGGAAAAATATATGGGGAAAGAGGAATGTGTAGTCTTCCCTTTTATTGAAGATAGATTCTTTTTTCATACAATATATCCTGATTACAATTTCTCCTCCCTCTCCTCCTTCCAGTGTCTCTCCACATATATTCTGTATATACTAGAATCTCAAAGAAGTAGGTTCTAATACCAGTGAAGGAATGGATATGCTAGCAAGGTGAGAGAAGGCAGGCTACCTTCTCTTATACAGGCTCCCAGATTAAAGGTCTGCCTTCCCGCCTCAAGATCTGGATTAAGGGTGTGTGTCATCCAGCCTCAAGATGTGGATCAAAAGCCCATGTCTTGCAGTTTCAAATAGGGATCAAATGCCTGTTGTCTTCCTGCCTGAATATCTGGACCACAGATATGATGTGAACGGAGGCCCCAAGCTCCAAGGCGGTCAGTGCTGGCTTCAGCACAGTTCTTACAGTGTCAAGTCATCCTGTAGAAACATTGGACTGTGGTGATGTCAAACGATACAACAACGATGACAACAACAATAGAACTTAAACAAACAACAAAACAAAGCAAAACAAAACAACAAAAATGGAGACAGGGAGGGAAGGAATGGAGTAAAAGTCTTAAAATACATTTTATCCAAGAAAGGTTCTTGCTGCCTATCAAGTGATCCTAGGCTCAATCCCCTGGACTCATGTGGTGAAGGAGAGAAATGATTCACACAGCTGTTCTTTGACTTCCACATTTGCCCCTCCCTCGGCAAATAGGCACCTAATTGCATGTCTGGGCACACACACAAAGTAAATGTAAATTTTAAATAATCCCTCTTTCCTTAAACATAAAATGCAAAATTGAAAACAGAAAAAAGGTCTTAAAGTATCACGGGAAACTAATCAGTAGGCTCTAGCTAGCACTTTGTCCGGGAATGCCGGGCCGATAGGAATCCAACCGCGGGCTGCGTTAGCTGTTATCAAAGGAGGGTAACCTTGGCAGATCCTGTTCTGTAACACAAATGCGCCACCATACGGAGGAACCCGGGGTGACCTTGGTGGGTGGTGCTATTAGGCAGGGGTGGTGCTGGGAGTAGACTTCCTTCCTGCAGGAAGTCACCTGTAGTACCGGAGGTACCGGGTAATCCGGCTGGGCGATTCGAGCCATGATCTACCAAGATCCGGGCAGTGTGCTGCTTGCTTCGATGCAGTTCTGGTGCCGTTCTTGGATATTCTCAGCGGGCAGCCCATCACACCGAATGACCGCAGCTAGCTTTAGGCATGACCCTGGGAGCTGCAATCAGACAAGAGATTGCCGTACAATTGGTGGCGAGACACCGAGGCTGTCGCTGAAGATGTATTATGGTGGACTATCTTTGGAGAAATGGTTGCCTCACTCCAGCGAGATATTTTTGGTGTGGATAAGAAAGGTGTATCTGTAATGGGTATATTTCAAAGTGCTGGAGCACTTTGTCAGTGTCCTTGGGTCAGAAGAGGGTTTTGGATCTCCTGGATCCGGAGCTACAGATGGCTGTGAGCTACTATGTGGGTGTTGGGAACTGAACCTGGATCATCAGCAAGACAGAGAAGTACTCTAAATCGCTGATCCATCTCTCCAGACCCAGCTATATTTATTTTTATTCGTTTATAGCTTAGGAAATGGAAGCACAAAGAACTTACTAGATTGCCCAAGGCCACATAGCTATAAGAAGGTATTGCTGACGAGTGTGTGTGCGTATGCGCGCAGGCGCGCACACACATTTGTGTATATAAATGTGTGCATGTGCATGTGCATGTATGTTTATGTGTGTGTAAGTATAGGAGGCAGAAGGTGACCTCAGGTATTGCACCATCTTATCTCCTTGAGACACGATCTGTCTCTCAGAATCAAGAATAGATATCTTGTCTTTACACCGTAGAGGGCTGCTGGGCTTATAGAAATGTGCATGGTAATGGTTGGTTTTCATGCTTTTATTGGCAAACACTGTTATCTAAGAGGATTCTTAGAAAGCATCTGGTCTCAGCTTATGTGGCAATTTCTTCCTTCCCTCCCTCCCTCCCTCCCTCCATCCCTCCCTCCCTCCCTCCCTCCTTTCTTCCTTCCTTCCTTCTTCCCTTCCTTCCTCCCTTTCTTTCTTCTGTTTTTTTTTTTTTTTTTTTTTTTTTTCAAGACAGGGTTTTTCTGTGTAGCCCTGGTTGTCCTGGAACTCAATTTGTAGACCAGTCTGGCCTTCAACTCACAAAGATCTTCCTGTCTCTGCCTCCTGAGTGCTGGGATCAAAGGTGTACACCACTGCTGCCTGGTTTATGCTGCAGTTTCAAAGAGTGGATTTTAACACTAACCAGCTCAATAACAGGATAGATGAACCTTCCAAAGGAGGGCAAGTAGGCAAAAGATAAAAGCTTCCTTCTTCCATATCCTTTTATGTGGTCTGCCCCTTGAAGCTGAGGTCCTGATATAAACTTTTCAAGTTGTCTGTGCTTCCAGTAATTGTATTTTGTAGTAGCATGTTTTTTTTTTTTAATATATAACCAAGTCCATTTAAATGAAAACAAACATTTATAGACAATCTTTGGGAATTTGGGCATCGTTCTTTCTAAACTACTTCCTGCTGGTAAGGGGCGCTGTCATGGGGGATTCTAGGAAGAAGTAGCATGGGTTTATAGCACTGGACAACCATTTGTAGCTCAACTCATGTGAAGAACCTGTCTTCATGCTTGTGATAATGAATACTAGGCTCATGATATTAACAAGAAGATGTTGTGGGGGCATTCACCAGAGAAGACTATTCAGACATGGGTTTATATCAGTAGAAAGTCTTTATTAGCCAGTCAGTGACTACAGTGGTGCTTGGTTTCCAGTGTGGCTCCAAGCCTTTCTCAGGGTGAGCATTTTAAACACAAAAGCCATGTTCTGGAGCTACATACTTCAGTTAACAAGAACAACTAGCTGGAAGCAGGACTACAGAAGCCAAAAAGCAAGGTTGGTACACTGTGAGACTTTCCTGGAACTATATGGACTTTCAAGGATCAGGCCTTTGTGTTAGTTTTGGCAGGTGGTGTTTTCTACGTGCTGAATACTTCCATTATGGAGTCCGTTGTGCTAAGGTCTGGGGCCCTTTTACAAGGAGTGGTGTTCTATGCAGAAGCCCGACATACAAAGACATGGGGTCTGTCATGTGAGGAATCTGCCTAGGGAGGTGAACCCAGTCACAGTCCCTTCCTTTCCTTTTAGCACAGTTAAGGGATGCACAGTTACCAAGAGACAGGCTGCAGAGAGTTTATCATTCAAATGAGTTTAAGTAGGGAATCTATTCAGTTGCGAGAACCAAAAGTTGGGTCTTTGTAATGGTGGTGACATTTTGTTTTTCTCCACTTGTGTTTTCTTGCCAGTCACTCCTGAAGCCATTGGCTTCCTGTCTGCTGTAGGGGTCTTTATTGTCCTTCTGGCCGTCCTTGCACTCTTTATCAACAAGAAGCTGTACTTTGAAACCGTAAGAGGCCGCATACACCCAGAACAAAGAGGGACGAGGAAACAGTCTTTGAGGGAAAAGACTGGGGGCCACACAGGACCAGGTAAGCACCACGTTTTATGTTCTCCTGAGCTACAAAGTGACACTCTTTTCAAGGTGGCCCCATAAGAATTCACAGCTGAGCTGTCCAGTAATAGCTGCAGTAGACATGATCTATGGGACCACCAAAGGATGCCTCAGTTTTTCCCGTGTCCTTAGAGCTGACGGGGAAGAACTTGCCTCCACACTCCATACTCCATCCACTTCCTCCTCCCCAGGAATCCTGAAGGAGAAAAAGCATATCTTGATTGACAAGAATCTGAATGTGTTTTGCCTTCATGAGGGAACAGTGCTGACTTGTTGCTGCATTAGCTGTTTTTGAGATACTCAGTGCTTGAGATCCATGCCCACCTTGGAGCACAGTAGTCCTCTTTCTGGAGAGAAACTTTCAGTTTCCATATCTAACTCTTACTTGATGAGGGGGAAGTCAGATGAAGAAAGGACTTCTTGCTCTTGAAGGGCATACTCTTTCAGTTGCGTAGGTATAGAATTTGGTGCTGGAGGGCACCATCACAGGGTCCAGGCTGTCACCCAGGGAGATTAGACATGGAAAGGTTCTCTTGCACTTAGCAGCCAGATTCTCACCCTCCTCTCACATGCCCCTCAGGTTATGTGTTGACACTGGTCAAGGAGCTACTTTGTATGCTCTTTGGGGTAGATCGAATGCTATGAGAATACTCTGCAGTCCCAAGAGAGCTGTGGACAAAACAGAATATTTAGCTCATTGACAGGGTAGCTTTTGTAGCCTCAGAGAGTTCAACTTTTTTGACAGTAGGGACATACCTTAGAAATTTAATCAGGCCAGTTATCTGTTGTCTCATGACAGATCACTCAAAACTTAGTGGCATATACATTTATCTAAACTTTTTGTAGTTTTGAAACATAGGAGTGGTTTAGTTGGGTGTTCCAGATCAGGGTCTCCTATGAGGCTGCAGGTAAGTCAGTGGGCTAAAACACTTCCAGAGTGGCAGGAGGCTCAGTCCCAGATTTGTGGGTACCTCCAGGACTCCTTCAATTTTCTTATCATAGAAACTGGTTTCTGAGCTCAAGACTCAGGGAGTAAGGAAGAGCTACAGTTCCCCTTTGCAACCTCATCTACGAAGTCACACATTGTCACCTCTATCCCCTTCCGTTTTTTACTGACTCTAGTCTATGCCCGGGCGGGGGAGGGGGTGCGGGGGGGGGGCTTGAAATCAGGCTTCACTTTTGGAGGAAAGGAGTGTCAAAGAGTGCATGAGCATGTTTTAGAGTCACCGTGGAGTCAGTCATGGGGAAGGGTGAAATGGTTGGCAGATGAGGGGTGTGGCTGCTGTTGCATTGCTCTTTTGAACTCCATTTGAGACATCTGACTCATCTTTACAAAATGGAACAGAATGTTGTATGGAGCTTGTCCTATAAACTCAGCCACTTGTGAATCCTTCAGCCACTACTGTCCCAGCGGGATCTAGGTGAAGGGGAGAAGAGCAGGTATTGCTTGGCCATAGTTTGGTGAGGAGGGTAGGACTTCAGAACGATGCTTCTCTTTTGGATCTGACTGACCCTCTGATGTGGTCATGGTGAATTAGGGAACCGCTCTGACCTTCTATCTTTTTTATCTGCATGGGATAAATTGGGATTATTGGATCCCAGCAGGGTTGCCTTAGAACAAATGATTTATTTTTGTAAAGGTTGGCATAGCATCTACCATGAAGGTCCTTGTGGAACTATAGTTGTTGAGCAAACAAGCAAGCCTGACACTGATGCCATATGCAAATATATTGCATTCTATACTTAAGCTGGGAGGTTGAGGCTGGTGAAGTGTTCACCTTTACAGATAGTAATAACTAGGACCAAGGTTGGAGCTGCTTAAAACACTCCCTTTGTGTCTTGTTTCACTTGTGTGTGTGTGTGTGTGTGTGTGTGTGTGTGTGTGTGTGTGTGTTTGAATGTTTTAGGGACAATTCTAAATTATACTCTCAAAAAAGTTGAGATTTTAAGATCATGTTGGAACACTAAAAAGAAGGCACAAGATTTCTAGCCTCAGACTCAGAGCAGCATCAGCAGGAGTAGCTTTAAAAAGAGCTGAATCAGGAGCATCTTCAGATGACTCTGAGAAGCAAGCATCTTCCACATCGCTTCTCTGGAAGAGTTCATTATTATGGATCTGAAGTCATTTTATCTAACCTTTGATATTTTCTTCAGTTGTCATCCCCAAAGCACTAAGTTCTCCACGAAGATGGGATTTTCCTTACGTATTTTGACAAGTGTTGAGGAAGGAAGGCAGCCCTGTGTGGTGGAGAGAAGCATGGGGCAGACACTTGGAGCTTCCTTTACTGCTAATTGGCCATGCAGTATTTTGGGAAACACACTTTTACCTCTCTGAGCCTTAAGTCCTCATTTGCAAATTGATAAGTCTGGACTAGTTTCTCCCAGCTCTCATTCTGTGATCCTATTTGGCTCATAGGGTTACCATAGCAACTTCTGGGGCTCTGTGAATGGAAGAGACCTAATAAGAAAGATTAAACATCAACTAGGCCACCCTACTCTTAGGCTGTACTGTGTGAAACAAAATTTTGAGGACTAAAAGGATGGCTTTAGTTTAGCATCTACAACTAATTAACCAATTCTAATCCATGCAAGGGTTTGAAATAGGATAGCAGCCTCTTAGCTCATTTGATATTGTCAGAGATGAAGGAGCAGTGGCTTTTTTTCTGTATCTACTGTGTAAAATAATTTGCCTGACAAACACCATATCTTCCTTTAGGCTGTGCATTTTCCATAGTTAGAGGTCTACACAAAATGTGGTGCCTGAAATTAGAAAGGGGAAGATTAGATGAGACAGTATCTTTCTAGTAGCACAGGCAGGTAGCAGTGATAGCTGTCAGCTGACATTTATTTAGCACTTGCTATTGCCATGGGCTGACCCAGCATTCCACATGAGTTATTTGCTTGCTTTATTTTAGGTGCTGTGTTGGTCATTGGTAGTGATTATTTTTGGGGACATATCACTTGGAACAAAGAAGGTATTCTTCAACTATGAGATAGAAAGTTGACTGAAAATAAAAATCCCCAGTGAGAGGAGAGAGAAAGAGAGAGAGGGTATATAAATTGATAAATGGATTTTATTTTGTTTCCCCTGAAGCATCCATTTTTTTTGCCAGTTTTAAATTTCATTTTATATTCAAACCACAGTTCTCCCTCCCACTCCTCCTCCCCCCCCCACCTACCTCCACCTCCTCACCTCCCTCTCATCCTATCCCCAGTCCACTCCTCCTCACAGGTAAGGGCTCCCATGAAGAATCAACATAGTCTGGCACAATAGGTTGGGGCAGGACCTTACAATTCTGATCCTCAACCAACCGAACTAACTACACGCCTCAGGTCTGTCACCTTACAGTTTTTCAAGGGCTATGCATTTTCCTTGTCAGTTATGCTGTCCTCGTAGCCTGAATGACCACCAAGAGGCACATGGTACCTTCCAAGCACTGCTCAGGACAGAGAGGTTGATTCCTCTCATTGGGGATAGCTAGCAGGAATAAAGTATTGTGCTAAATCAGATTCAACTTGTGCCGCAATGTTCTCTGCTTTAAAGGGTCATTGGGAGTGAGGGTAGAACTCTCAAAGACCAGACTCCTTATCCATAATGAAACGGACTCAATCAGATTGAGTGGGCAAGTTGAGAGTTTAGTTTCTCAATGTTGAACATGGGAAAGAGGCTCCAGAGAAAGGAAGCTGGGAGATCATTCTTAAGAATGCACGAGGAGACAGATTCTTTTTTACTGTTTAAGTAAGCAGACACAGAGCTGGCACTCAGCTGTCAGGCTATGGCAGCTGGTACTCTGAAATGAAGTTGTTAAAAGGGTTTCTCTCTAGCAGTTTCTAAAAGGACCCAGTTGAATGGTCCCTTCTGAGTCTACTCCCACCTTCCCATCCTCGTCTGCAACTGTGTGGTTATTTCCTGATCTCACAGAGATTTCCTACTTATTCCAGAAATTGCTTCCACTTGACGTATAATATAGCTGCTATGTTTTTTTTATTGAATCTAAACATTTAGGTTATAGTATGTTCAAGTACATATTTCCCATGATGTATTTCAGTGAGTAAGTCCTATTATCATCTATTTTACCAGCAGGGAAGTTGTGGCTTACTAAGATGAATGTTCATCCTAGGCCAGTGCTCAACCTTCCTAATGTTTTGATCCTTTAATACATATAGTTCCTCGTGTGTGGGACCCCAACCATAAAATTTTTTTATTGCTATTTCATAACTGTAATTTCACTACTGTTATGAACATAGTGTAAATATCTGGTATGCAACAGGTTGAGAACCTCTGCCCTAGGCTATTCTTAATGTCTGTTTTTCTACTTTATCACCTTCACAACTCAACCTACTCCATCATGCTTTTCCATGAAGATAGATGTGACAGAAGTTGGACAGTTGGGTTGGAGTATGTGCCTTTTATGCTGTTGCTATTGCACATTGCTGCATGCTCAGTGTCTTAGTGGAAGCCATTCTGGCACAATTCCTGGATTTGATCCTGACTTAAAGCTAGGATGCACATAGGGCAACACTCATTCTGGGAACTCCAAAGAAGAGTCTGCTCCTTGTCCCTCTCCTTGTCTGGTGTCTGTCTATTGATCTTGGCATCCATTAACTTGTTCTTGAATCACTCTAGTCTCTGCTTCCAACTTCACATCACCTCTCTTTCCTGTATTTCTGTCTCTAGTTTGTCATTTGTCCTTTTATTTAGTTGTCACTAATCCAGGAAGCTTGTCTCATCTCAGATCATTAATTCTACCATCAGATACTTACACCACCTGTTTTTTTTCAAATAAAGCAACATACTCAGGTTATAGGGTTATGGATGTGGCTACAGGGAGAGGTTGACATTACCTGGGAACACATGATCCTTTTTTCACTATCCTCTAGTAATCACTCCCCACCCTCCCCAGGCAGGGTTAGGAAGGTTTTACAAAGACATAGAACTGTAGCCTGTCAAACGTTTATGATACAGATTATGGTTAT